CAGTCTAGCATCATCTGTCTAGAGTCTTGGGAGCTTCCATTCCACCAATCATGCATTTTTTGGAGCCTAAAACAGCTCCATTAATCTAGGAAAATTCTCGAGGCACGGGAAAGGTTACCCTTACAGTCCTGTCCTGTTAAATATGGGACAAAACCACCCGGCAATTCGGCCTTGCTCTTTTACTGTGTTCTGTTTTTTTTTCTCCAGCTGAAACGCCCTTGTCAATTGTATGTATCCGATTGTTGTTGGTGATCTTCATCGATGATCGACATGCAACATTGAAGCGACACCGCCGGCTCCGCTCACCCACTTGGGCTGACGCTGGCTGACCTTGAAGCAAATTGCGCCTGCGGTTCCGCTGCGTGACATGATCAAGCCCCCGAGGCCCCCATGGAAATATGGACATGGACATGATCCGAACATCAACGGACCAGATCTACTGTGGCGCCAACCGACTCGGCCGTGAGATGATGCGCTCCCCTCCCCCAACGACTCAGTGAACCATTTGATTTTGAGGCTCAAGGAGGCGCTAAACGAGATAACGCAAATTACGACTCCATGGCGCCAAAAAGTGGTTCCACTTGGGTCCAAGAGCCAACGGGGTTCGAGGTGATTCGTCAATCTGGGAGAATGGCTCGCGGGAATTCCGAGATCTCCCTTCGACCGATTCTCCATGATGCACGAATGAATTGGAACAAAGCTTCTTGATGCCGAAGAAATCGACTGTTTCTAGAAAGACCCTTGACTTGGGCTTTTTGACGTGGTGGTTGCATTGCCCGTTTCATCTAAACGCATCATCGCCGATCGTTCCCTTTCTGTATTTTGTCTCGCTTATGCTTATGAGCTTCAGCAAAAATGTCCACAGACAATGGATCCTTGGACTAGGCCCAGAAACCAACAGTCCGGCTCATTTTGCACTTTTGCTCGCACTAGAGCTCATGATCTTTCTTCTTCTGAATCAGATGCATGTCGATCTTCTGCGGATGCCCCAGATATCCGCTTCAATAGTTTAGAACGGCGGGACAACGGCCTCAACCCCGATACACCATTTTACGCTACAATGTCACTATCACAAATGATCAGTGGGCGGGAGATGAGATGCAGTGGGTTTAGGTTCCGCTTGTCTGTGCTCAGGGCTGAAAATACCCTGGTCACCTTGTTCAGGAGAATTCATCCACGTGGGAACCCGAAAGTCCGTGACAGCTTCCGTTGGGCTCTCAGGATGGCATTTACCTTTTCAGAATGTCGCGATAGTTACACTCTATCTTGTTATCTCCCCAAGGGCGCAATTGCGGCTCCTGGAATTCCCGATGGCCAACAGTCTATCTTATCACGCATGATCACCATGAACTCACGCATAATGCGGCTCAGGCTGTTATCTTATTGATCGCATGAATTGCATGCATGAGTCCCGGGTAGATGCCAACCGCGTATTCCCCAGCCTAGCACAGACACCACCAATGAGACAGCAGCGAACACGAAACCGTAACGCCGCCACCAACTCATAATCTGCATTGATTATGCAAGCTAAACAAGTCACAATTCGGCAGTTGCTCCTCCGTACTCCGTAGAACCTTCATAAGACTGCTCATTGGCACTGACTCATGAACCCCTGACAGTCTCTGGCCGGATACCAGGGCTAGCTGCTTGTTAGTTCCAATTTCCACGTGGCCGACACGTTTCGCGCGTAAGACCATGTCAAGCAGACCCGGACTAACTCTCGTGATTTTGCAGACTTGTGCTACTCTAGCAAGACGCAATTGTTTCCGTAATCTGTATTCTTGACACATAGTTACCTGGAGTCATCGAGAGCAATAGAGCTACTCACTCAGGGGCTCAATTGATGCCGATCTTCAGAACCTCCGTGACTGAGACTGATAGAGGCAGTATCAAGAGGTTGACGAGTGCACACTGAAGCACCCTTGCTCCACACAATCGGCATGGCCTGCCAGCTTCCGCCGATGGCACTGCTACTCCAGTTTATACAAGCTACAAGCTCTCTATCCGTTGGCACAGAAGCAGTTGACCTGCATTTCTGCGCTTACCATTTCCCTGAGATAGAAAAGGATATGCTGACCCAACAGCACCGTCAGTCACATCTTTCGCAAGATGGGGTATCCAGCTATCAAGATGCCTGCAAGAGCTAAATGTGGACGGCATGTGGGCGACTGGGCAATGAAGCATCCCCATTGGCCTCAGCAGCAACCTGCATGACCGATGGCTTGCTCACGGACACGGATGCCGACTTCCATCCTATCCGGGCTTGAGTCTGAGCCAGGACTTAGTCTTCCATCGTGATTCTGATGTTGGTTGGATCGAGCTTGCTGAAATGGCTTCACGGCTTTACCTTACCTATTCATTCGGGTAGACTTGATACATGTTAGGCAACATTAAGACGTCACAGCCCTGTTGGATCTTTGTCCAACATTTTCTATCCTGCAGAATATGTCACTATGAGATTTAAGAGGCTAATAACACAGGCTGCGCGTTTGTAGGTAGCAGAGGGCAAATGATTGCCAATTGCACCTTCTACTCCATACGTGAAGAGCAGTTGGCGCCAGACGTAACACAACAAATGGAATTGCAGTGCTTACCTTTGGGTCAGTGATATAGGGCACAATCACTGGAGCTTCACCAACCAATCATAAGTCATTGCGGGCGAATGGTTTAGTGGTATAATACTCCCTTAGCATAATTCATCAGAATAATTTGGGAGTGGTCCAGGGTTCGATTCCCTGTTCGTCCAAGATAGGTGGTTAAATCCCACTGTTATCCGCTTCTTTTGCATTTTTGCCAGTTTAATCATGAAAAAGTTAAGAGAAGCTTTCTTTTCAAGAATTGGCCTGGGTATCTGTTTTATAATTGAGAGTGTGTGGCGTGCTGTTTGCATTTTGTTTTATTATGTCTTTGTGCTGCCGGGTAAGTTGTTGTATTTCGACCATTTGGGTACCTTATACTTTGCAGGATGAAATCGCTACAGTAGGCCTGCATACAACAGCTTCCTGCAATCCAAACTCCAGCTTAATAAGGATCTCCTCCCCTGTGCTCTTTCTATGTTTAAGTGTATTTCTTAATGTCGTGTTTGGTGGCCAAGCCTGAGTTCAGTTTGACATAAAATGAACTTCACGATTGGAGCGCATCAAGTTTTAAGCTTACAATTAAGACTGCCAGGGGCCAACCCAATAGGATAACTTCACCATTTCCACGGTATCATTCCGCGAACTTGATATACCTGAAGCTACGTCACAAACAGGCAAAAGATCACCTCAAAGTCCGTATTCCTGTCTCCCAAACTAAGGTCTAAGCCATTTTCGGAGCTACCCTCTCCGTCGACCCAATCAAGCAAAAGCGCGTCAAGTTGTTCCCCGCACAAAAACATGTTCACGCGGGGACCCCACAAACCGCGACGAGCAGGGGGATCAACGGCTCATTATCCCAGAGCAGGAGGTCATGACACCATGCAAGATTTACCGCGCCATTGAGATGCCGCCGCTGGGGAGAAAATTCGTGACATTGTGGCCTGCATGGTCGGTAGATATCCCGAACTTGATCGCCAAGACTGTGGGTGACTAGCTGAGGGAGCTGCCGAGGCAGGAATGTGAATATGTGAAATGCTATAAGAAGTGCTGAGGATCGCTGGCAACGAGAGAAGAGAGTAGCACCCTCGTCTGCACCTCACAGAAATCATGCGTTTCCAATCTCTTCTCTGGGGAGGACTCTTGAGTCTCTCTGCAGTCCTCGCTGCTCCTACTGCAAACCAAGAGCCTCCTACACCAGCCAAGCGTGCTGTTCCTACTTCGACATTCTCCAATAATGTCATCTTCTCTCCCCCTTCCAACGCTGGCTGGACAGACCCTCGGGTTCTCTATGCCCGGTCTATCCAACTCTCGGACGGCTCTCTGCTTGCAACCTGGGAGAACTACTCCCCTGAGCCCCCGCTGGTTTACTTCCCCATCTACCGTTCTACAGATGGTGGTGTTAAGTGGACTCAAATCGGGAAGGTCCAGGATACAGTCAACAACTGGGGATTGAGATACCAGCCAGACCTTTATGAGCTTCCAAGAGCAATTGGAGAGTATCCTAAGGGAACTATCCTTTGCACAGGAAACAGCATTCCTACAGATCTGAGCAAGACCAAGATTGATGTATATGCTAGCACTGATGGTGGAAAGACCTGGAAGTTTGCTAGTAGCATCGCATCGGGCGGCGAAGCTCGTCCCAATAACGGCCTCACACCAGTCTGGGAGCCTCACATGATGTAAGACCCCTTCCTCTACTCCCCGAAGAATCTGTGCTAACTTAAGACCAGGGTCTATCAGGACAAGCTCATTTGCTACTACGCTGATCAGCGTGATCCTAAGCACGGCCAGAAGCTCTCTCACCAAACCACCACAGATCTCGCCAGCTGGTCTTCCCTCGTCAACGACGTCGCTGATAGCAACTACAACGCCCGGCCCGGTATGCCAGGAATCACTCTCCTTCCCAACGGCCAGTACATCTTTGTCTACGAGACCTGCGGTACCCAAGGCTGCAGAATCTTCTACCGTCTCACCTCCGACCCTCTCAACATCCTCGCTGCCAAGGAGTATGCTCTGGTTAGCAACAAGGGCACCCGCCCCGTCAGCTCTCCTACCGTTGTCTGGAGTTCGGTTGGAGGAGCCAATGGAAGTATCATCGTCAGTGCTGGAAGCCAGTCTCAGATCTTTGTCAACAAGAACCTTGGTGCCGAGAACTCTTGGGTCGAGTTTGCTACTCCTCAGCCTAATGCGTATACTCGTGGACTTATGGTGTTCAAGGAGAACGATAACTTCTTGGCTATCATTGGAGGCGGGTGGTTGCCTCCTAGCAGCACCAACCAAGTTAGCCTGAGCGTTATAGACTTGAAGAAGACCGGACTGTAGAATATCACGTTTAACTATAGAAGTATAGAACCATCAAATACCTTGCCCTTTTTCGAGATTGGAGAAGTAACATGATGAAAGCAAAAGTTAACGAGCCTGCTACCCTCCTTTCTCGCCGAGCTCCTCTTTGTGACTTGACTGTAGTCCTTCCATGATGATTCTAGTCGCTTCCTCCTCTTTGTCGTATGACGGAACCTTTTCACTGATGCCAGTGTCATATTTCATCCTGCTCTCAACAGTGTGACTCATCCATTCAAAAGCCTCGAACAGCCCTTTGCCAGTCTTAGTGCTCGATGCAAACACCGCCTGTAGCATTGTTAGCTCATGCCGCACCAGTACTTTGGGCCACTCACATGTGGCGTATTAACTAAAGGCGATGAAGAATCATCGACATAGAATCCCTTTATCTGCTCTGCTGTACGCGCGTTCTATGGAATATTTCAGCATAAAGTTCTGTTTGAAGGTCAAGCTACATACACTCTTATCTTGCTTATTTGCTAGAATCAACACTGGGATGCCGTTGCGCAATCCGTCTTGGTGGCGCACAGCTCGGAAAAGTTCTTCTCTTGCTTCTATGAGGCGGTCGTGATCAGCCGAGTCGTCGACCCAAACAAGTGCATCGCATTGCCTGATGAAAGACCTCTCCATCCTGAAATATGTCTCAGGCCTGCCACCGCCGAGATCAATGGTTTGGAAAGTGACATTGCCGCATCTATAGACTTCAACCTGATGGGCAATCATGCCCACGACGATAGATATATCTTTTTCATTGATTACCAAATGAGAGCGCAAGAGAGTTGATTTGCCAGCCTCGTCAAGCCCGCTGAGGAGGATGCGGTGGTGGCCTGGAAGGGTACTGAATAAGCTTGTGATTGGCGTGCCTGAAGACGGTCTCATGAGACCAACCGAGGCGAGGAATTCGCGGGCGTATGTGATTAGGTTTTCCATGATTGTAGTAACTGAGTGGTTTGAGTGTGCTAAAACATGACTCACGACGGAAGAGGCTTATATGAGTACTCAAATTGTTGCCTGGAAGAGCTGGCCAGGGAGTCCGAATATGAACACGTAGCGCTTGGGAAGCGGCCACTCAAAGCCAGCAAAAAGTCTTCTTTCTACAAACAGCGGAAAGATTTTATTATTGATGGTGGAATTTGTCTTCAAGCAGCATTTTTTCGATTGAGATAAGGGGAGTAGTCAGAACAGACAATAACTAACCATGAAAAGTAAACATCCAATGCCAAACCCAATTGCCGTAGGCAAAACGGCACACTAAAAAGACGGAATCTCATTCCAAGGTCCGCAAAAGTTAATGGTTGGCAACAGTGAAGGCTGCCTAAAGCTGTGTAACATGAGTCGCAGTGAATCACTTCAGTCGGTGACTCATGAGGGCTTCATTCACATTTGGTTTGGTGGCGGGGTGATTGGTTATGACGAAAGCTCATGATTACTCAGCGATTTTATCATCTGCCCCGCCCCGCTCGACTAAAATACTCAACTACCTTACCTCACCTCAAACGAGGTTTCACCACGAACTTACTCCAATAATCAACACTTTCCGAGACCGAGCCACATCTCGTCATCATGTTCAAGCGAAAACCCGACATCAGAAACCTCGCGCCTTTGCGCTCCTCAGATCGAAGAAAGCTCGCCGATCAAATCATCCGGGACTATCAAGTCTCTATCCCAGAGTCCGGCGACGATGCCTCAGCAGGGACACAATCACAAACGGCACTGCGCAACTCACTTCTACCAGAGTCGACTTCGTCAGCTCGTTTCATCACTCCAACTGAGCAAGGAACCGTGTACATCGGTGCACATCCAGACCAAGATGAGAGAGTCCTCTGGTTTCAGACTGGAAAGAATCCCCGCCTGATACCAACAGTGTACACTTTGTGGCGCAACCCTAACCTCATTCCACTTCTGCATACGCCCGATTTTGTGGTTGAGGAGAAGCTGAAGCATGGCGCCGACCTGATGGTTCCTGGGCTGGTGAAAGCTAGAGGCACCATCTGGGATTCGCGAGCGAGCACTGGCGCTGTTGTGGCTGTCGCAGGAATGCAGAATGATACAGTGCCTGTCTGGATTGGGACATGTCAAATAGATGTGCGAAATCTTCCAGATGATGTGCGAGGTCAGAAAGGTGCAGCAATCAAGGCCCTTCACTGGGTTGGTGATGAGTGCTGGAGCTGGAAGCAACTTGGCAGTGGCGGAATCGACCCGCCTTCAAGCTTAGAGGGATGGGCAGGCCTAGCAGCAGGGTTGGCTACCCAAGCTAACAAACTGTCGCTGGATGAAAAGACTCAGCCAGCAGAGTCGGCACCGGCTGCTCAAGACTCGCAAGCCACTGAGGCCCAAGAAGGTGATGAGATCGAGGAGGAGCACGAACCGACGACCAAAGAGATCGACGACACCTTCCATCAAGCCTTTCTGTTCGCAGTCCACAAAGCCAAAGAATCTGGCTCTCCGCCAAATTTCGGCTTGCAGTTCCCTCTTCAGCCGTCTTTCATAATCGCAAACATGGTTCAGCCTAACCTCCGATACCAAAACCCAAAGTACTACAACATCAAGAAGACGTCGTGGAAGAACGCCAAAAAGTTCATCAAGCATCTTGATAAAGAACTGATCGTCAAGTCGAAGGACAGAAACGGTGGAGAGACCGTCATTCTGGACATTGACTTTGATGATCGGCAGGTGTTGGGTTTCCGGCCATATCGATTGCCGACACCGAAGACTACAGGTGGAGATGTGTCAACATCAGATGCCGGGCAAGCCTCAGGGTCGAGTTCATCTGCCGGGCAGAAGGTCAACATCCAGATGGTATATCGCGTATCTTCAAAGCTCGTTCCGACACTTGTCCCCTCCAAGACAGACTTCTACACCTCGCAGGAGATCTCAGCAGCTATCAAGTCGTATATCGACCAACATCCGGAATTGGGAGGCCAAGGCAACTCGAGCGTCAAGCTCGACCCATTTCTCGCCAACGACATCCTGGGGAACAAACCGTCTGATGAAGACGTCAGTTTCCTTGCCGCAGGAAGAATTCCTCGAAGTACTCTCCAAAAGCGAGTGATTGAGGACACCCATCTCTGCCAGCCCTTCCACATCATCTCACATGGCGCTCCCTCACCCGATCAGAAGCCAAAGTCTGGATTGCCACCTCGGATCCTGATAACAATCGAGAAGCGAACCGGTACGAAGGTCGTCACCAAAATTTCCAACTTAGAGCCCTTCTTCATCGATCCTGTGGTCCTTGCGCCAGAGTTACAGAAGAAGTGTGCAGGTTCTGCGAGTGTAGGCCAAGTTGCTGGTGCCAAGCCTGGATTGATGGAAGTTGTCGTTCAAGGTGATCAGAGGAAGATTCTCGCTAAGGATATTTTGGCGAGCAAGGGTATTGATGCGAAGTGGGTGGATGTTGTGGACAAGACAAAGCCCAAGAAGAAGAAGTAGATGAGAGTCAAGAATAAGCTTGAGAAGCATAGCCATTTCACCAAAACAGAGTCTTCAAGACATCCTAGGATGATTTCATAGGGGGGACTCGATGGCACATGAATAGACTTCAGGCAAATAAATATTTGTAGTAATGACAAAACGCATTCTGGGCAAACCTATGTTGCTATGGTGTCCTATCCGTTTCTAGGAAAGTGCACCCATTGTGAGGGCGCATTTGACATTTTCATGGTCGAGGTCGCAGGTGGCAATGCATCCAGTTGCGACCTCTATCCCGTTGAGACCTGTGGCTGAGAGCTTAAAACAGCCGAGAGAACTTAGCTGACCTCTATCCATGGCCCTTTATCTCGTTGGAAGAATCTGAGGAAGACTATTGGATATCGGCTATGTCCACGTGCAGCCGCTAGACTGTTAGGCCGCATGAAGCAGCAGGATCGGGTTGTCACTCTTCACCATCTCACACCCGGCATGTCACCTAAACGATTTGCCAATCTCTGCAGTTCTCTTCGGTGTCCTTTTTTCTCAACTTGATCCATCCTTTTGTTTCTTTTTCTGGCCACTGGTATGCTGTCCCAAAGTGGAAGCGGGGTTAGCAGCCTGAAAGACCTAGATATCGACCATCTCAGTTCATTCGAGCGTGCTTTGCGACGTATACTGGAGACGGATATAGCAGAGCAGACATATGCAGAAGTCCTTGACGGTTTGCCATTAAGAACCTCGTATTTGTCTTTCCAATACCCGCAAGACGGGCATCCTGCACTTGGACACGAGGATCTTTCGGAAGGCGCTCGGGAAAGAGTCCGTGGATTTCGATCAAACCTTGATATGTCATCGCTCTTGTTTGAAACTCCTGTAAGAAATCTTCAGTCATTCCTGATGATATTGTGACTGACACCCCCAATGTTGGTCGAGGCCTTCAGGAAATCAGCACCCCAGTCCAAAGAATTCTATTTAAGATTTATTGAGCTGCTTGCGGTGAGCTGCCATACGTTTGCGGTTGAGATCTTCCAGCTTGATGAAGTTGCCGAGAAACATGAAATATACGATAACTGGAGGGAATCACCTAGAGATATGACGAAATGGGATTCATTCCGCGACCCAACGGCCTTTGCGCATGGACCTTATATCGCGTTGACCATTATCCGAATGGAGCTGCAGATACGGTAGGATACTGGGTTGAGGCAAGAATATTTGGTGGTGTCGTCGTGTTTGATAGAGGTGAGGATGGCACCGAGGTAGGGCATAATTCCAGTTCGAAGTGACATATTATTAATATTACCGCAGAGTCGACAGATATACTTCCATGGATGCCGCCGCAAGGGACCACGAACGATATACCCCCCGACAGACCAGCAATTCGAACAAATTATCCAATTTCTTCTCAATGAAGGTGAAAGTCATGATAATGCCTCAGCCAATCCGTTTCCTATTCTAGCGACACCGCAGAACCGCTGGCGCTGGGATCCGTGGGACGCAATGGCGCACCACAATATCTATCGCGATAGGTATGAGCGGAAAATTAGCCCAAAAAAAGAGAAGCCCTGCGTTCTGAACTCTATCGACTGGCCCGAAATCAAGGATGATCTATACCTCATCAATGCGATGCATGAGCGGTTGGAGGGGAAGTCGTTGGATGAAGATGAGATTGCAGCGGCTAAGGAGGGGCTGACCAAGATCACCCCATCATCGCCGTTATGGTCAAACGGGGTATTGCGGAAATACCATGGAATATAGAAGATGAAGATATGGATTGACAATTTTACTACGTATCAAATATCACTGGACGGTTGTTTATGAATGAATATCTGCGGTGGAAGAAAATCGCGCATAAGCTATAGAACAAGCAACATCGCGAAAGAAGCATCTCTTTCACAAACAAGAACCAAAACAAAAAGCATGAGGCACACCCGACTCGAACGGATAACCTTCAGGAATCAAGCATTTTTTCCAAGGAAACCCTCGAAATTAACTGGAATCTGACGCGCTACCAGTTGCGCCAGCGCCCCATTCGTTGGCCGGAGTTTGTTCAGCTTCCAGTCTATACCGACGGGGCCTGGAACTTGCGATGTGGGCTTACCTTGTTGCTGAGAAATGCCGAGCTGCGTCGGAAAAAGCAGCTTTGACAGGTCCAAGATCGGTCAAATTGAGAGATGCAAGATACAAAATGTCAAAGGAATGTGATATCATTTGAACTAAGCTATGACCCTAATGCTGTAGTCTCATCCGAGGCTCTCAATCCCGCCCAATGCACCCGCACTCTAGCCCTCATTCTCTTGGTACACTGTTTCGCTTACAAATACAAATTGTGGGATACTACTAGAGTCACTGAACTTCCTACTTCTTGGCGTCGGCAGAACCGTTCCACTGAAAAGAGGCCGGCTGGTATGAAAGCGCGGGCCCCGACTCAAAGAGCCCAGAGCCGCTTCCAAAGTTCAAGGCAGTCTTTGTCGCTGATGGCGCTGGGCTCGCCGGTTTCGCAGGTTTCGCCGGAGTATTCAAGAATTTGAAAGGATTCTCAGCCTTGGGCAAGTCAGGGATTGTCGTCCAGCCATTGAACTGAGCTTTAGGAGCGCTGATAACACTTGGTGGGCTCGGCTTCTTGCCGTTTTCCGAAGGAACTTTGTTAGTTGTAGTCGGGGCACTGCTTTGAGGCTCATTTACAGCAGAAGGTAACGCTTGTCCGTTAGTATCATGGCCATTTAGGTTCTGAGTCATGCGACCTACGTGTTACTGCTCTTGGCTTGTATCGCCGGCATTGGGCCAAACCCTGTCTGAGGATCTCGACCTCCTCCTGCAGGCTCTTTCTTCGAGACGATGTATCGTCCGATTCTCCAGCCAACTCTTCGAGTCTTTCCTTACTCATTCGATCTACCTTTGTGGGTGTGAGGATATCTGGTATATCATACACAAGGCAACTTTCAACTGCCAAGTTGATGACATTGTCGGTGAAGGTACGCAGAGACATCTTCAACAGTTAGTATCAAGCGATTATGAGGCCTGGTGTTATCTTACCGTATAATACGTCAACATCGTGTCTATGACTTTGTTGATTCCAAACTCACTATCTTCAAGGTCATCTTCTTCATTGATGTCTTGAGCAATTGCTTTAGAGTCGACTCTCTTACTCGTATCTCCTGTCTTTGCTGTGTTGCTCTCATACAAATGAGGGTACTTCTCTTGCAGAACAGCAGAGATACGTCTCTCCAGCTTCTGATCCGACGATTTCGACAGCATGTCATAGAACAACAAGTCAAGAGGAAGTGCGTAACCTTGAACATAAGGTCTCAGTAGTTCGTCGATCTTTTCCTGAAGTACCTTTTCCTTTTCATCAAAGAATGGGTCCACGCAGGTTGACAAGATCGCCTCAGTAGTTCGATTTGTCCGTGGGGATCCAACAACATGCTCAAAAACCTGATCAACAAAAGCCTTTGCAACTGTCGTTACCAGCTTGACATGTGACTCGGTAATACCTCTCCAGGGGGCTGCTTGTTGTTTAAAGAGCTGCATGGCAAGGTCCTTGTTAGGAGTTCCTGGAAACTCGAGCCCTTGGTTGGCAGCGGCTTGTTTCTCGAGTTGCTCAGCGAGCTCGCTTCTCGTGATTTTCTTCGGCTGGGGAGGGTTGTAAGGGTAACGTTCCAGAAACTCTTCGAGGTACACGGGAATTTCATCGTCCTCCGAATCACTTTCATCATCTGAGACGGTGACATGGGTCGAGCCCTTAGTTTGAAGGATATGATCAAAAGCTCGACTGAAGTTCCGCAGCTGTGCTCGCAACTTTCGTTGATCGTCCTGTAAGCCACCGAAAAACTCATCATTGTATCGGCCGTATATTCCATCTCTGGCGAGCCGCTGAAAGTCACTGGCAATGGCAAGCAGAAAAGACCTAAGGTCCTCCTGAGTGGATCGAGACTTTCCCAAACGATCGAGTTCCTCTTGCCGTTCTCTAAGCGTCGTTTCGATGTCTGTAATGACCCCAGGCAGACTGTTACGAATGTGACTATAGAGCACATGACTGAGCTTCTTTCGCAAACTCACAATGCCACGATTCTCAGAAGGAATAGTCGCCCAAGCACCCGTCTTGAAGAACGCGTCTTCGACTCGGTCTCGACCTTCCAAGCTGTCCTCATCTTCAGCCCTGTTACGAAGGACATGCCACCCAAGCTGCAGCTTGTGCGCAGCTTCCTGATTCTTAGCCAGCTTGATGTATTCCTTCTCAGCATCATACCCAGGGCGAGTCAAATCAGGCTTCGTAATGACACCAATGGTTCGGCGTCGTTCCGGATCGATGTTCTTAGCTTTCTGGAGGGCTAAGTGATTGGCAAGATTGTTATTCGCGGTGATAACCACCAGAATAATGCTGTTCTTCTGTCGCATATAGCTCTCAACAAGTTGGTCGACCGTTTCTTTACCACTGATTGACTGGTTTTCGGTAGCAACTTGGAAGAATCCTGGAAGGTCAACGAGACTCAGTGGGTACATCTTAGGCCCTTCAATCTCCAGACGGAGCACGTCCTTGGAGAACTCCATCCCGGCTTTGCCAAAGCCCATGCACTCTTTGGCTTCCGCGATGATGTCGCCCAAATCGTCCTCACGAAACCCAGCCCTCTGGAATCTCTTTGCTGGTTTGGATCTGTCTTCAAATCTGACACTCACATCGATTCGAGTCTCATTAGCTCGGCGGAAAATGAGCTCAGTTGCAAACCTTGTGCAAAGATTCCCTTGAACCGGAAAGCGAACGTGAGAAATAGCCTCAAGAACGGACGACTTGCCAGCGGACTGATCACCAACGACGATGATTTGCGGAAGGTTGACGATACGGCCGACGCCGCAAGCACTCAGACTGTCGCTTATATCATGGAGGGCTTTAGTCTCATTGGTATTGAGCTGTTCGAGAATGTTGGCGTCTACAGACACATCCATTGTAAAAGTCAAGTGTTGATTGATAGGTATATAGATAATAAAATATTTTATTTTCTCAATTCATCGCAAACGAGAAGCCCAGCAAAGCCTCCTTTATGTATTGATCCTGCGTCAGAGTGCTTAAGTTAGGAATGGTAAGCCAGGGGCAAACGCGCGCTTGAACAGCAATCTAATTTGTTATCTGCAGGAATCACACCATAGCAAAGTTTCAGTTGATACAGGGGCATATTTCTGTTGGTTCTGCAAAACAACAGGGTTTCGTGTGATAACAACAACCAACATGCATATGGAGGAACACGGGGTAGGTACATTCGGATCACGGCAGCCCAACAGCATTGTGCACACGAGGACCAAGATTCTAGTAGATGCATAATATGGCAATGGGGTTGGTTTTTATTCTTGTATACTTCAAATAGTGACCCTGATAGTGTCATTCTTGAATGGCTTTGCTTTAACAAGCACTGGTCTCCTACGATAATCTTTTCATAGCCAGTGCACGCTGTTGGTCACAGTATCCTTGTGGATCTAGCTTAAAAAGGTCTAAAGCCAAGGTACAGGTAACTAACTATTTGGGGTGATTTCAGCGTGCTAGCTCGAGGGGTTGTGAATTCTACTTTACAATCGTGGAAACCGTCGCACTTACAGAAGTTCCGCATATAATAAGATTATACTAAACTATTGAGAACTTGAATCTCATATCATATTTCTGTCTTCTTCTCGTCGTTATGTCCAGCTGTTAAGACGAGCGTGGGAGTAGTCTCCTCAAGTAATCCACCCTTGGCCAGACCGCGTCCATGTCTCAGCCACTGGAGTTAGCTTCAATAACCCCTCCTTCATTCAGCTCCTACTACTCTCCACAAATCGACTTCAAACCCAAGGTCAGGTTCTCTTGACAATTTCTACAACAGAGACACGTTGCATTGACTTCTCGGAAACCATGAGTTCCCAAGCAGACCCTCTATTGGTCAATATCTACGATGCACTTCGTCACAAGTTCGATATCGGAGACAAGACTCTCTTCCAAATGTAGGTTCCGACTCAACCCCTGCAGAGAAGCGAGTTCCACTACGATGAAAGCGATTCAAACTTTGCACCGATGATTAAGCCAATTCCCGTGACTGAAGCCGAGTTTCGTCTCACAGATGGCATATTGGAGCTGTCCAACATCGTCGGCGGCCCAAATGGAAGCAAACTCTCAGAGAAATACGACCAGGTGCTTTCGGGCCTCATTTCGGCCGACCACGCCGATGAAGAACCGCAGCAGGCGAGAGAGGACATGAGGTCTTGCGTAAACCGCAACATGGATGACACAGAAGACATTTATCTGACGTAGTTCAAGGGACTTGAGTGGCGTAGAAAGGAAAGAAGCAAAGCTTGGTTTATCCATTACATCGAGACTAGGCCTGATTCGGAGCTTTCGTAGTTTGGGAAAGGAATTCGAGTCGGTCCCAAGAGATAGAGGCTCCCAAGCCTCGGGATGCCAACTCCCTTAGGTTAGTGATTCGAGAGTTGGGGAGCAAAGCTGAAAAAGACTTTTGAAGAAGCCATTGGTGGGGTTAGGTCGCCGTGGTACGACACGCTGACTATTCTCTTGGTCCCAAGAGCCTACCAACCTCACATTCATCAGAACGAGAGATCGCAAAGGCCAAGACGGTGGGGTCAGAGGCCCTAGAGAAAAACTCTCAGCGAGAAGGGTGTCGTTGATGAGAAGGTTATGGGCTGTGGAGGAGGCCAAGAGCAAAAAGGTGTCTTTATCAACTGGGAAATTGCAATCCTAAACAAGTGTCTCGAGGTTGCGCATGGCCTTGAAATTGAGTGCCACAGAATGTTGGATATTTTTCAAGAGCCTTGCGCCTTGTTCCTTGATTTCAGCAGTTCCTCTGTACTCCACACCGGGGTCTTCTTGGAACCTGCGCCAAACGCCAGGGTGAATATCGCGAACCTGGTATGCGTCAGGTTTGAAGGTGAATTTCCGTATACAGTCTGGAATACCGGGGCCACTGCGGTCCCCAAGCATGCCCTGGGCGAGATTGAGCAGAAGTCTGATCTTATTGGGACTGTAGTCGAATTCGAACTCGGAGAATTGGCAAGCACGAGAAAGCCCGCAGCAGTCAGAATTGACGCGGGCAAGCTCTTACAAGGCTTCCTCGTCTTCAGCGACAAAGCTGACGATCTTGGCCAAGATCTCGTTGGGCATCTGAAGCAACCGGCAGTTGGACACAGGAGGCCGACCTTGCATGACAGTATCTAGAAGCAAGGGTTTCAGGCGGGGTTTAGGCTCGCCTTGATAAGAGTCGAGTTCGGCTGCCTCCTGGGCACCGTACATCAGGTTACTGACATCATAGTCGGAACGCATTGTAGCACAAGGAATGAAGACGCAGGCTGTGATTATTGTGCAATTGATGTATCGAGAAGTTGGGGTTCTAGTTAGGTCTCACAATGACGGGGGTTCGTTCTACCTTACCCCACTGGAACTGGAAAAAAGAAAGCCCATCCCTATCACTACATAAGCCACTGCGTATTCGGCAGCCAGAAACGAGTTACTCATTGGTGTATTGTCACTGTCCTTATCACGTGAAAGTGAGCCATACACGCGCTGGAATAGCATTTAATTCGGTTCAGCACCAGTGAACACGTTAACGCGTCACTTTCGTGAATTGTCTCGCACAGCAACAAATCTGTATAAAAACTGCAGAATTACAGCTGATCAACCGTCATGGTGACAATTGGTACAGTAGTTCAATGTGATCTGACACGTGTTGGATAGGTATGCTGTTCCACATTTGCTCACTCCATCATTATCCTTCATGTGCTGGACACTGTGAAATAGTTAGCATGAACTCGTCATCGACCATGTAGGGGCTCACTTACGCATCCTTGATATCCTTGCCCTTCATTCCGAGACCATAGTCATCGCACTTGAACTGGGCCGTGCAACCAGCTTGGCCAAATGACGCGAGCATGATCATACCGCTCTGAATTCTAGCATAGCGCGAGACGTAGTCCGTGTATGTTGTCTCGTCATCAAAACCATCGTTTAAAGCACGGTCGCATGCATCATCGATGCTGCCGCACTGGCTGGAGCCCTTGTTGTTCGCATTAGTCTGCGTGGGCAAAGGAGTCTCAAGCGTGACGGCGTCTCCGACACCCTGCGTGTAAGTATACTTTCCACCAGGGTAGTTTCCAACCTTGACTGTACGGTCGGGGTAAGAAACCACTGTCCCATCGTCGGTCTTGACGTAAGGCTCAGGATCGGGCTTCTCAGTCACCTTGGGCTCAAACGCATCTGTAGGGATAGAGGAAGGGAAAGTTGTGTAGTCGGCGCAAGACGATGAGATCAAATCAGTCGAAACATAGAAGCCCTTGCCGCTGACTGTAGTCTCACAGGCGCAGTAAGGATCAATTCCCGGATTGGCATGAATGATACAAGGATACTCGCGTTCTGGCTCCTTAGTAGTGGTGGAAGTAGCAAAAGTAGTAGACTGCACAGAGGTCTCAGTAGATGTAGGTCCTGCCGTCGTAGACTCAGCAGTCGTGGCCTCTGTTGAAGCCATCTCGGCGGTAGTGGTATCCTGAGTCTCCGTGGTCTCGGAAACCTCAGTGCTCGACTCTTGGGTAGTGGCAGACTCAGCGGAAGTCTCAGTGGTACCTCCTGTAGTAGGGGTAGCATCAACATCGACAACGACTGTGTCGACTCCCATGCTCAGCTGAGGAAGCTCAGTCGTCTGAGTAGTAGCCTCAGTGGTCTCTGTAGAAGTAGCAGCAGAAGTCTCAGTCGTTCCTCCAGTTGTTGGAGTTGCATCAACGTTTACAACTACCGTGTCCACGCCCATAGACAATTGGGGAAGCTCTGTAGTCTGGGTAGATGCTTCAGTGCTTGTGGCCTCCGTTGTAGCTTCACTGGAGGTAGCACCGGTGGTAGGAGTAGCATCAACGTTCACTACGACTGTCTCAACGCCCATCGATAGCTGAGGTAGCTCAGTGGTGCTAGCCTCAGTAGTGGAAGCTGCGGAAGACTCAACTGTAGACTTAGCTTCAGTAGTCTTAGCTTCAGTCTTGGTCTCTTCCTCAGCAGTACTCTTGTCGTCGTCATCGTCGTCATCGTCATCATCGTCCTGGTCATCAGGATCCTCGGGTGTCTGAGTTCCAACAGGTGTCGGTACACCTCCATTGATGACGACAGCTGATGGAGCAGGAGTGATACCAGGGAGAGGGGGAAGGACGTAGCTTCCTGGCGCAGGCCCTAAATCTCATGTCAGTATAAACGTTAGGCGGAAGAAGTCAGTGAACTTACCAATGCCCCAAAGAACAATACCACCAGGACCATTGTCTTTGCCAGCATGCTCACAAAATATCAGGCAGGAGGGACCAAAAAGAACAGGGACAACAACGTCATTGCCATCGCTATCCTTGGTGCTGTGTAGGGTGTTGTCAGTAACACCGGAGATAGTCTCTTGGGGCTCAGCAGTGACAGCAGCAGGAGGAACTGTAACAGGAGCCTCGTCTTGCTTGGTGGTGGGCTCAGGGTCAGTCTCATCCTTGGTCTTGGGGTCCTCATTGTCTGAGTCTTCAGACTTGGGGTCAGGATCCTCGTCTTTACTAGTGGGCTCAGCTTCCTCCTGCTTAGTAGTAGTAGGCTTGGGGTTCTCAGGCTTCTCAGTCGTGGATGGCACCTCATCAACAGGCTGTTCTGATGAAGTGGTAACGATATCGTGAGGCTGGGTAGTGGTGGTCTCTTGCCCGATAAAAGGTTGGGAAGTGGTATCCTGAGGTACCAGCTGCTCAGTTGTGGAGTCCTGAGCAGGAGGCTGCTGGGTGGTTGTGTCAACAGCAGGGCCTTGCTCAGAAGTTAGCTGAGGTGCAGGAGGTTGTTGGCTAGTAGTCTCGACACCAGGTGTCTGATCAGTTGTGACGGTATCAAGAGCAGGAGGTTGCTGAGTAGTTGTCTCTGCTACGGGAAGCCCTTGTGACGTTGTAGTGTCAAAAGCTGGAGGCTGTTGGACCGTAGTCTCGGGACCAGTGGGCTGTCCCGTCTCAGTAGTGGGCTGTTCAACAGGGACCTCAATTGAAGATGTCAAATCAAGAGGCGACTCGCCATTGGCAGTAGAAGTATCTCCAACCGCAATGTCGGTGCTCTTAGACTCAGGCAGCTCAGGCAAGATATCGGTTGAAGTAAATAAAGTGTCAGGAACCGGAACACTTGTGCTGGTCTCTGGAAGTGCAACATCTGAAGAAGTTGTCTTATCAAACTCAGGAATCTCAGATGAAATAGTCTCAAAGGGAAGAGGGTGAAGAGTCGTGGTGGTGGGTTCACCATTGGCTCTAGGAGTCTCGGGGAGTTGAGCCTCTGCCAAAGCGGCGAGAGCCACAACAAGACCGACCAGACGCATAACGAGTGATTGTCTAGGTCTCAAAAGCAAAAGAATGACTTAGTTGGTGTATAACGAATGAAAGAACTCAGTATGACTATGTCGGGCTGGGCCTACGGGACAGACTGCAGACACAACAGATAGGTATATAACCGAGATACTAACTCAGGCTTACATTTTACCTAAAGTTTCACGACTCGTAGCTTATCCATGATGACAAGCCGCTATGACCAGTCTAATTTTCCTAGTCCCGCAGAGTGGACATGTAACTGAAACGGTTCAGAAGGATCGAATCCTAGTTACATTGTAGGTTCATCGCCATGTTATGATATCGGCCCGTGCCGTTCCAAGCCACATCTCGTCGGGTTGCTTTTTCCGTCTGATAAATGTTTCTTGGATCCTCGCTTACCCCTGTGGATCGCTTCCTTTTCGATGCGGAGCTGAACTTGTAAGGTTGCATTGATGACGTTGGACAGCCTTGTAAAGGCCACTAAAGGATGCGCACAATTGATGAATCTCCATTTTCAATCTCTTTCTTCTGCTTGACATGAATCGTTTTTTGTGGCTTCGCCCTGGTTCGGGCATTTCCATTTACGTCTGCCACTGTCACAGTGGGCGAAAAAAGTCGTGTATCACTTCCTCGGCCTCAGATTGTTTAGTACAGGATCCATGCGATCAACATATACGGAATACATCAAAGCTTGAGTTAATTGCATCTTGCTTGTTGAAGCAATATCTCAATGAATCACTAGGTTGACCCAGTAGTCCACCAAAAGACCATCGTCTCGGTCTCAGATTTGTTCATCGTCGACTTCCGTAGACCATAACAAAGCGATAGTCAAGAAACATGCTTAATCTTAAAGATGCTGTTACGCGTAATCCCATCAATTGCCGCTACAGCCGTTCGACCCACGTCTGTAGAACTGGCCTATAAAACGACAGTCAACCCGAACAAGTGGGTAGAGGCCTCTGGCCAACATATGCTCCATTCGTGAAAGATCTTCATAGCTGAGCGCCCTACTGGGCCAAACATGTTGCAACGCTTGATCCTTCGGGGCCGTGACATCCTCAGCCTTGCAATGGTGGCTGACTGTCACATCAAGCGAATCCTTCACGCTTATCTATGGATCGCAATCTAACCATCCCTTTCATGGCAAAGCGTTCGGCATCGCGAATATTCGAGGCTATGTAAGGACATGAGATTATGATGAACATCCATAAGCGCCGGGTGATACCTTGAGCCAACAAAATATTGTTTTCTCAGTAGATAACCATGATATACAATAAGCAAATGCAACTTTGATCCAGTTTTAGGATTGATCAGCAATGGACTGGAAAATAAAGTTGGAGTCCTAATCAACTACTCTGCATCGTCTTTCAGAATTACCGTCTATCATTATCCGCGGACAAGCTGACGGGTAAGACGGAAAGGCCAGGATTTTCCGAGTTTTCGTGTCTTGGCTGACGATCTCAACTTCGTCCCGCCTTGCAAGTCCCATCCCGCACAGACAGACCATGCCAAGAATGAACAGCGAACCCGCTTTTTCGCGGTCCTTTCTATGGACCTCGTGTACTGCAATCTCATCCTAATTCCAGCCTTGACGGTTGATGGTCGGAGATTCCAGTGTTGCATTACTCTTGTCAGCTTACACTGATATCCCTACTCTATTCAGCATATATGTAGGACAGAGACTCTGAAGTTGTCCAGTCTCACCCATCTGATTGTATCAAGCAATACAGTCTTTCAACCGTCTTTCATTTTATACACTCGTTTAAACCGTCGCTCTTTTAGACCTTTTCAGCTCATCATCATGCTGGGCTCCAAGAGTTTCCAGAACGGCTGGGCCAAGCTGTTGGCCTCGCTATTCTTCCTCCTTGCTGCTTCTCAGCTTTGCATCGCTGCACCCTACACCTCCCAGTAAGTTCAATACCTATAGTCATCTTTAATAAAGCTAATTCCCCAAGGCTCGCTGTTCGCGATGATCAACATCTCTACGCCAGAGTCAAAACTCCTGAGCTAGAAGCCTATGAGAGCAAGCTCGACGACAGCAAGAAAGCTAACACATACGTCAACCAAGATGATACCAAGTTTGTAGACTTCACTGCTGCTGGTAACCACGTGGTTGGAAGCTCATCCTTCGCTGGCTGCTTCGGTGTCATCCTTGCGACCAAGCAAGGTGCCATTGTCGCTCATTACAATCTTGACCAGAATGGCTTAGACACAGCCAAGGAGAAAATTACCAATTTCTACACCGAGCACAACGACAAGGTTGGAGGCGCTGACGCTCATCTTTACTCTGCCATAACCTATGAGACTGGGGCGCTCGTTGAGGGAAACCTGTACAACGAGTACAAGAAGTTTCTCAAGGATCTTGTTGGAAAGGAGCCCCAGGACCATCACTACACTGAAGCTCTTGAGACTGTTTCGGAGGAGGATCTTGACAATGATAACTGGGATCCGGAGGCAGTGAGCGGTGGTTTCGTCGTGGAGAACCCTGGCGGTGGCAATGCCGATACCAGTATCTTCTTCATTACCATTGAGCGACAGCGTGTCAGTGCCCAGGGACCGGGTAAGTGATGGCAGCCAAGTCTAGTTGTCACCTGGGTCCCAGATTCCGGGCGCTTATGAGGTGGACCTTCATTCTCGCACCTGTCAACCATGTCAAATAGAATATATGGCAACTTCACCTTAGCCAACCTACCATTTTATTTACAAATGTCTCGTATCATGTTGAACTCATCGTTTCTCAGCTTGCAGTCTCCTGCCGTGATTCAGATAGGATCTGTCGAGATCTTGAATCAAAAGTAGGCCCTGGAAGATGAATGTTGACCATGTATTAGACTGAAAGCTAGCTGATGATAAATGTGTCAGAAAAGATATCATTTTACGACATGTCGGCCATTTAAGACCACTACTTTCTTCGTTGAATACCCAAACATTCAAGGAATGGACCATCGTGACAAGCCACCAGGTATGCTTGCTCCGTGGTAGACTCATTAATATGCTTAACCTTGCACCATGAGGGTACAGCAAAAGTATCGCGTGCCTCCCACTTGAACGTCATCGTCTCCCCCGTCGGCGTCACAAGTTCAGTGCGACCCTTTCCTTCATAGCAGTGATAAAGATAGGACTGGCTTTCTTGTGATTCCGCCGTGGCACCAGGGCCCAGTCTCTCGGCCTGAACGCCGAGGAATGTTGATAAAGGCTTTCCATTTGAGAGCTTATAGTGATAGGTAGAGTAGTCGCTCTTGTCAGCGTTGAGTTCTTCCTCAACGGGAGCCCATGGGAAACGGAACTCGCATGGGTCGCAATGTCTGAGAGTTTTAGCAAGAGCGTCTTAGTTGTGTAGGATAGAAGTATACTCACTCGCTGGGATAGCGTGGGTCAGAATAGCCCTCGGCAAAGTGAACTGGAGCAAAGCGGAACAAAGGTAGGTTCAACATATCTAGCCAGACGACTGGCTTATCACTCTCGTTTCCATGGTCATGCCAGTGCCAGATTGGTGTGATGACAACATCACCTCTGACGAGGGGCATCTTCTTGCCCTCAACAGCTGTGAAACCTTCACCATCGATGATGAAGCGAGCTGCGAAGGCAAGATGTCTATGTGCTGGCGCTGTCTCGCCAGGATTGACGATCTGAAGACCTCCATAAATAGTATCTGTTGTGTATGGTGATTCTAAAAAGGTCAGTCAAATGAGCTCAGCAACATGACTGATATACTCACGCATGCTTGGGTTCACTAGCATCAAGACTCTCCGTTCAGCCTTTTCTTCTGGCACCAATTTGGCGGCTGTCTCTAAATGAGGCAAGGCTTCTTTGTATGTCCACATATGAGGCTTTGCTGTGGGGTTTGGCGTCGGCGGCACCATCATGCTCATCTGTGACCAAAGAGGCTCCAAGTTCTTCGATGGTAGTTGGCTGAGATACTGCTTCATCTCTGGTGAGTCGCCATCCGAGGCGCCCGACGCCACTGTGCTAGTATAATTTCCCATCTTTTCTGTGGTCTCTTTGAAGAGTAAAGATGATATTGAGATTATTTTTTACTTGGTTTGTGATTCACAAGTGTCGCTGGAGTGTGCTGTAGATAACTAAATAGCGGGTTGATGATCTCGGAGTGGACAACAATCGTAAGATCCCCGGCCGAACAAGAGAAAGCTGGGGAAGCAGAACCGACAGGCAACAGAATTGCTACAACGGTCACATTGAACCGCGTCTAATCAATCATCCACAACAGCCGAAGTCAATATCCGTCCTCCGGGTTGACTCCGGTGGAATCCGGGATCCCATCTTCCGACCGGATCGCGCTATGAGTGGCTACAGTAGTGGATCTCACCACAAACGGTCTCCGACAATCATCACGTCTTTTTGGAAACAACTATAACAGGAAGTATACAACCTTGGAGATAATGCAACAATGAGAATAGCCAGTATCGCAGCACCGTTGTATCGCAGAAATTTCATATCTTCCTTCTCTCGCAAAATGTCCTCAACAACTTGGAACCGCCTCATCCGCTTTGTCGATGACAACGGAAACGAGACCTTTGGAGACCCTGTCATTGAGAATGACAAGGACTTTTCTGAGAAGTTGGCCAAGAACGACCTATGGGCTATTGAGTACAAGGGTCAGAGCCCCGTGGCGCAACTCACAAAGGGTGACAAGGTACATGTCAAGGCTGTAAAGGAGCTGCTGCGACCGGCTGATGTGCCTATCATCCGATGCATTGGCCTTAACTACATCAAGCACAGTAAGTGATGAGTTACTCATTGACTGAACCTATAATAACTTGGGTGATTAGTCAAGGAGGGTGGCCGAACACCACCGCCTTATCCCTCATTGTTCATCAAGCCCTCTACCTCCATTGCTGGATTCAATGAGGATGTTCCCATTCCTAAGATTGCCCAAGATGGCACAATAGACTACGAGGGAGAGCTGGTAAGCAATATGTCTATCTTTTTGCCGGAGAACGAACTGACATAAAAATCTAGGGCATCGTGATTGGCAAGTCTGGCAAGAACATCACCAAGGAAGACGCTCTCTCTTACGTAGCAGGCTACGTCGTCTCTAACGATGTCTCCGCTCGAGCATGGCAACGAGACCCCAAGAAAGCCGGCGGCGTTCCCCAATGGTGCTTCAGCAAGGGTTTCGACAAGTTCGCACCCATTGGACCTCTTCTCGTCTCTCCAGCTGTCGTTGGTAATGCTTCCAAGTTGCACTTGACAACAACTGTCAACGGCGAGGAGAGACAAAGCGAGGGTACGAATGATCTTCTTTTCGGTGTCGAGGAGATTGTCAGCTTCATCAGCCAGGGGACAACGCTTGAGGCTGGAACTGTTGTTCTCACAGGAACACCATGTGGCGTCGCTATGGGAATGAAGGAGCCTAAGTATCTCAATGACGGTGATGTTGTGGAGGTTAGCATCACCGAGTTGGGAAGTGTCAAGAACAAGATGGTCTTCGAGTAATGGGTAGATTAAAACATGGTATTTGGGTAAATAGACATAGAAACAACTTTTCCATTGTGTTATTCGTTTAAAAGCTCCCAAACTCCTTGAACATCGTTCAGCCATGACATATCATTTACATCTAAGTTGAAAGCTGCAAGCTCCTGAGGATTAAAGTCCGGTATAGGGGTTTGAAACTCTTGAGCAAGTTGCTGAACAAGATCAGGAACTTCCACGTTCGGCATCGGTTGTTGAGGAAAGACTGGGTCATTTCCTTCGGCGGGTCTGTAGGTGTTCGCCGTCTCACGCCCCGGTGAACCACGAGGCGTTGCTTGCAAGATCTTTGAAGAAAGAATATGTAGCGCTGCAACGCACCGGCGAGGAGACTGGCCGAATTGCTCGTGAGCCTTGAGTACTGAAATAGCTTGGCCCCAGGATCTCCCGATTTCCACGGCCGAGAAGACATCTGGTCGAAGTTTGGCGGCGATAAGGACTGTAGCGGCGGAGTAGATGTAGTATACTCGATACCACCAGGCCGGGAGCAGACCAACGGTGCCGTCTAGTGTCTGGTGTTTCACCAGAGTGTTGATCATATTCTGAGCTGTTGTGACGCAGAACATTGCGCCTTGTTGAACGACACGAGCTTGGAGATTATCGTCCATGGGCTTTTTATCCTGGGGAGATTGTGTGAGGCAAAATCTAGAAAGGACTGGCCGTAGTAGCAGGATACGTGCATGGAGGAATCTGTTTATGTGTCAGTCGTTGTGTAAATCAGTGGACGTAGAGGACACATACCTCATGCGAAGTATCACGGCTTGTCGCCGTGCTATTTCATCCTTATTTGACTCCAACAACTCCCACCTGAGATGATCTGGTAGCTTTGACTGCCATCTGCTGATACAGCGATCCAGTTGAACCACTCGATCGAGGTCTTCGTCTTCGCCGTCTAAGCCTTCAAGGTCGAAGTGCGAATCCTTCTCTTTTGGTCTATTGCCCTGTGAACCGTCGTAAAAGGCAATCATAGTCTTGTGGATGATCTCGTAAAGTCGCACTGATCTCACAAAGAAGCTGTAATATTCCAAACCTTGCATTCCGTTCTGGGCGTTTGAAGTTTCCGCTGGATGTGGCACGTCTTTTGCGGGATGCTGGGAAATCATGGCTGGGCGACCATGGGTCACGGATACCATGCTAGCCAGGTTAGCTGACCGAGAGCCAAGATACAGTCAAGTTTACTCACCGATCCATCAGAACACATCCATACCATATCCTGCGCAACAACTCTCGCTCGCCAGGGTCCGACCGATTCGCAGAGGTCTCGGGCAGGTGAAGTCCCAATCCCTGGGCCATCCTGATGGCAGATCCAATAACCATCCATGTCTGATGAGGATTATATGTACTCTGAAGATACTGGCTCGTTACCAGTAAACACTGCACCAACTCGAGAGATCCGGGTTCCCAGGGGCTCATTGGCAATAACTCCTGGGCCCTCTGGAAGTATGTCTCACTCGACTGTTCTCGCTGTTCTAACGAATGCGATTCAACGAGTTGGGTGGATAGGGCTAAGATGACGTTCAGCGTAGCGACGAAGACACGCTCATTCAAGTCCATGGCCGTTCCGGAGAATATGGCATTATAAGCACGAGTCCATCGGTTCCTATCCAAGAACGGATACAGCGGGTCAACGTAAAACCAATACAGCTCTATCAGATGATCAGCCTGCCTCCGTGGGGGTAGAACGTATGAGAAGTCTGGTGATGTGACTGAGGCAGGTCCCATAACCCCAGCCGGCCGAGATATATTTGACGCATTGTCACTTGAGCTTGTAGACTTCCCTAGCTTCACGTCGATGGCTTTTTTTATTTGAGCGGTGAAAGAGCCTGCACTGCTCTTCCCAAAGAACTCTCCAGTACTCGTCCCCTCATCGATGACCGCTGTCATGGAGTCAACAGCAGAAGGACTATTTGAACAAACTGAAGCCCCGACATTGCGCTGACCACTATGTGAGTCTGGCCTGGTACCGCTGCCGGGGGTAGATGTCACTGGGGAGTGATGATGTGGCGGTGGTGGCGGCGGCAGTGACAGAGGCATAGACCGTCGTGGTTGAGGCTCGTATGTATTCACGGCTGGTAGAATCGGAACGGGTGGGCTTGCCATGGAGGGAGAACTACCCTGTCTTTGCACTGGCAATGCTGGTGCTGGAGGAGCAACAGGACGTCCATTCTGAGCAGCAGTGAAGGGCGCTGCTATTGGCGGGCGATGATGTATGAAGGCAGTCGAACTAGCGCTAAAGTTGCACTTGTCCCTGAGGGCCAATTTCCTACTACAGGAGCCACAGACTGCAGCGTCTTAGCCTTTGTCCCCTCCCCTCCTGGGGCTGAGTGAGCTCAGTGTCTGTCTCACCTGGTCGTACACCGTCACACTTGACCTTCTTGGCTCTGCAGTTATCGCAAGCGACATCAATCTTGAGGCGTTTGGCCCCACTCTGGCGATTAGCAGAGGCACCGTCATCTGTTTGTCGTGGAGGCTCCATGTGTAGGTAGGTCCAGTTCCGTATCCGAAGGGAATGTCGCTGGTTGTTGGGTCGGGAGAGGATGGGTTTTCGGAATGGACATGAATTGGTTCGGAACGGGGGGATCCCCAGAATTAAGAGATAAGATTATGAGGCTGGACTACGGCTAAAATCCGGGGAGCATTAGCGGGGGTCTCAGAATCTTTGCATTAGCTTCACTCGGAGCTCGTCGGTAAGTAGTGGCGTGGCATACCAGATACCTATACTTACTGAGTGAGCTGAAGTCACACTATTGACAAGATAATTAACCGCTACAAGTGTTTTCCTGTTCCCGTGACTAAATTGCAATATTGCTTGTATCTCCTTTTGGCTCAATAACTCCAGCCGAGGTCTGTGGATGTCGCCTAAACCAATCGGTGACCCTTGTTCTGATCCATCAGCAGGCAAGGTTCCCCTCTTTCTCCGCATCCTCAGTCCCTTCTACGCGTCACTTTCGCATCTCATCCCATTGACCCGCGTCTTTGACTGGCCCCACCCAAGTTGGCCGATTTCTAACAAAAATCTCATTCGCTGGTTGGAAGTTGAGGCTAAACCACGTTTTAGTATGAGTGCACTAAGCATAGGGTAGCTAACTTACCCTTGGTCCAGCAATGGGAGTCGGATCATGTAGAATTTACCCTTTGCTGCTGCCGGAATAGTCCAGAGTGTGCATCCACATGTACGGCAAAATGCTTTCTCTTTAGAACTTCCGCTAGATGTGTCGGAGAGTGAGTACTTCGTGATAGCATCTTCTGCCGTGGTGGAGACTTTGACATCTTGGGCCATGAATTTTCCAATCTGCCAGGTACAGGTTAGCTTCCATGTCAACAACCCATCGATGAAGATTCCATACCAGTTGATGTGTGCCACCAGCCCCTATGCAGCAATGCTCACAGAAGCATGAGAGTACCGTGACTGGTTCTGATGAAATTGCAAACTTTACGTTGCCACAGAGGCATTTCCCCGAATATGGTGCCGGCATGTTTTCGGATGATGCTGAGC